TAGATTTCAGCTACTACTGTTGATCCCGTCACCCATCCATCATTGATGAGGATTTAGTGTAGTCCCTGCAGTTTTGTAGCTCTTAGCTTTCAGCTACTACTGTTGATCCCGTCACTCATCCATCATTGATTGGGAATCGGTCCTTGCAGTTTATCATTGTCCACACGGCTCTCCTTCATCCACTTTTGAAGTTGAAGTTTCACAAGCTGCTGTTAGTCCATCTATGTTTGCCTCACACTCTTGAAGACAAATCATCTAGTTCAACACTGAGTTCATCTATCTCAAGCTTAGTTCATACAATTTGTATGCTCCAGCTTGAGGGGGAGTGTTAGATATATTATATCTTTTATCTTTTAGTTAGTTTGTTATTATTTCTCATTTGTATTTTGGGCTTAGCCCATATTTCTTTTATTATAAATAGAGAACCCTATGTGTGTATTTTACACAAGGGAGATTAATCTAAATATAGTTCTAAGTGGGCATTCTATTCTTCTATTCCACCCGCTATCGGGCCATTATCGGACCACCCAATTTCTACTATCACGCACGAGATGTCTATACCTCGGCGTGAAGGGGGTGTGTTGGAAGTCCCACATCAACTAGAGAGATAAGGTCAATTCTTAGTTTATAAGTGAGGTGCAAACCTCACCTTACAAGCCGGTTTTGTGGGGTTGAGTTAGGCTTAAAACCTACTTTCTAATATGGTATCAGAGCCATGGTTAGAGCCTATCCTAGCGAGTTCTAAGTGGGCATTCTATTCTTCTATTCCACCCGCTATCGGGCCATTATCGGACCACCCAATTTCTACTATCACGCACGAGATGTCTATACCTCGGCGTGAAGGGGGTGTGTTGGAAGTCCCACATCGACTAGAGATAAGGCCAATTTATAATATATAAGTGAGGTGCAAACCTCACCCTACAAGCCGGTTTTGTGGGGTTGAGTTAGGCTTAAAACCCACTTTCTAATACCAGTGATAGACCTTTTGTTCACACAAGCCTCATCAAATAAAACTAAAATTTTCCCCTTAAATAACGTAGTCTAGAGGTCAACCTAGGTATCAATCCAAGGCATCGATTTCAATTGAGTTCATTGAGTAATTTCTTTCTCAACAAAACATGAATTGGGGGATTGAAACAATGAAAAGTAAATGAACAATAGAACGCAAAGTGTGATCTAAAAACTGAGTGAAATGCAAGAAACTGAGTAAGGAAACACAAAGACATAGGTGCATTAATAGAAGTTGTTTAGAAACGTAAACTTGTGACAACCAAGCAAAACTATAAAATAAAATGCAAGTACAAATTAATAGTGCAGTAACGTGAATGAAAATGCAAAACAAGGGACAACGTAAATGTGTAACACTGAATTGAAATGAAACAAATGCAGAGATACATTCTAATCGGTAGAAATAGCTGGAAATGAAATTCCAATTGGTAGAAAATGCTTAGAAATTAAAACCAATTGGTAGAAGTGCGTGGAAATTAAAAAAGCAAAGCCAGAAAAGTATGAACAGTAAAGGAAATGAAAATAAAGCAGAACTGGAAATTGAAAGCTAGTGCACGGACGCATGGAAATGCATAGAAATTAAGGGAATGATAAGAATCGACCATACTCCATTGCAAAGAAAATTTGGAAGTGAGTACCCAGGGAACTCCAATGGTTACAAAACACCAAACCCCAAAAGCAGAGAAAAACAAAAACCAGTGAAGTGTATTCTGCCTCCCTCCCTCCCTCCCTATGGCTGCTCTCTCACCTTCCAAAAGCACCAAATTAACCTAATTTCTTTCTTTTTGGGCCATTCCATGTTCAGCCCACAATAGACGCTTGAGAGAAAGAAAAATACACCCTAGGATATTACAAAATTACCCCTACATACAAGAAAAGTTAAAACAATGCTGGCAGCCAATCCTTGTAAACAAACGTCTATGATTTTCCAACTTAAACTGTATTTAGCTTAGAACTCTAAAAATTATGTTCTTGTACTCAAATTATGTAACTTGAATATCTGAGGTAAATGAGCATTTGTGTAAACATTTTCAAACCAAGGATCTTGGAAGCCTCAGATACTTCTTGGGTATTGAAGTAGCTTAGTCAAAAGGTGTTGTAATCATTCAAGGGAAATATGCTCTTGATAATCCTAAAAGAGACAAAAATGATTGATTGTAGACCAATGGATAGCTCTATGGACCTAAATAAGAAAATAACACAACAAGTAGAGTCTTTCTCTGATCTGAAAAGAGATAGAAGGCTGGTTGGAAACATTATCTTACTATTACTTGACTTTGATCTGTCTTTTGCAGTTGGTGTTGTTAGTTAGTTCATGCAGGCCTTTTCTTTTTACCATTGGAATACTGTTACCCGTATCCTAAGATACCTCAAAAGAGCTCTAGGACAAGGTATGCTATATGAAGATAAAGGAAATACCCAAATCCATGAGTATTGTAATGCTAACTGGGCAGGCTCCCCTATCGACAAATGTTGTACTACAAGATATTGTGTTTTCCTTATAGGAAATATTATTTCTTCTGAATCTGAATATAGGACAATGACGACTATTAGTTGTGAACTTTTATGGGTGAAACAGTTCCTTCAAGAATTTAACTTTTTACAAGTTCCCCCCTAAATTTCATTTGGTTGGGTACTCGCAAAAGATGACAAGAGGATGCTTGCTGTAACCACAACAATGACAGAGGTTGTAAAAGAAGATGGATTTAAAATTGTGGATGGGAGAGATGCTGCTATGCAATCGAGCTATATCACCACTATATCTGTTATTTAAAAAATTTGATTGATATTGGTTGTTATAGCCATATTTGAAAAGAGGGTTTGGTTTTTCATGCTGAGGTAGTTTTTGAGCATCTCTACCAAACTTTTCAAAAATTTAGTTCCTTAAAATAAGACATGCAACCATCTTATGATATGGTATTGTTTGAGTGAATAGATGTTTTTACTGCTTGAATCACCATCTTATGCATCTTAGTTCATGTGTGTTCGGAAATTGAGAGGTCAGTTTAGATTGTTGTTGGTCTCTATATGTAGTATGCTAATAGAAATTCTATTTGATCATTCAGGTTCTAAATTGCCACGAGTCTGCCATATACATCTTAGCACCTTTGAGATATGCTACTGTCTATGGGTGTTCAGATGCAACAATAGTTCTGGGAGCAGTAGGCAAGGTAATACTTAGTAGCTTTGTGTCCTGCTTGTGAAAGGAGCATAATGATTCTGTACATATGTAAGGAATGAACAAGTATGAAATTTGTTTTTGTACCATAGTGCATTGTTGTTAAATGTTGGGCATGATGGCGCAATGGCAGTATGTAGGGGTGGAGAATTGATGTCTCCCATACAAAGGCTATGGCATGGCCATTTTGTTATGGCAGGCCATGGTGCCTGCAATGTCCGTGGTGCCAATTGTGGTTTTTGACAGAAATGAGAAACCTTCACCCAGAAATGGGTTGAACTGGCCGAACTATTTTCATGTTATGACCTATCACCAAAAGTTGTTTGAAACCCTAAAGCAGTAAAATACTTGTTTAGCCATCCAGCAGTGTGTATGGTCACTCCTATGTTGTGTCTTTTGAGTCTATCTTCTTCCATGTGTATTTTATGAAGGCATTGACATCATCTCCTCCTGGCAGCAACCCATATTCTGGTTACCTATCCGTCTCTCCATTATTGGTTTATTTCTGTGTTTCTGTCCCTTTTCTCATCCATTTTCTGGCCAGCTTCTCCAGTGACTTACCTCCTTTTGGTTCAATTGATTCTATCTCCGTCTTTTTAGTTCTGTCTGCTTTTTTCTTTGGCTCTAGTGCTCCACCTTACTGCATTCTGCCCCCTTGTAGTCTAGTTCTCTCATGCTCATTTATTTTTATTATTTTGTTGTTACATGAACCTGAGTTCTTTTACTTTTGAGTGAACTATTGAATCTTGTGACGTTGTCTTCAAAGTTTATTGAATATGCTATTTTTAGTTTATTGTTTTTTTATCATAAGTTTTTTCTTTCTTCTTTCTAGTTAGAGTCTGCACTTTATGTTACTATGTGTTTTGTGCGTGTTATAAGCCTCACACCTCTGCCATAGGCCACAATGCCATCTGCCATACTTTTATGGTGGATTTGTGGTATATGCTCTATGAGTATGAGTTATTTTCCTTCAGCTTCTTCAGAATCTTATTTGTAACACATGCATAAGCTAATGTTACCTGTGGAGGAGCTGGTTTCATTTTTCTTTCTTTTTCTCCCATGGAAGTGTTTATGGAGAATCGGACGAGCCATAATTGTCATCATTTAATATAACACCTTTCAACAAGGTACTTTTAGGTGGCAATTTTATTTTTATTTATACTGATTTATCCTTCTGGATTCACTTTACTGCATTTTACTACTTTCAAAGATACAATTGAACTATTTACTCATCATTTTTAATTCTTTTGGTACGACTTGGTAATGGGAGGAGAGGCGTTTTACTGATTTTCTGCCTACTAGTAGAATAGCTGACGCTTAATTTGCAGAAAAGAAGTTGATCTCTCTGGGTTCGTATTTTTGTTTGCCAGGCTGTCAGAGTGGAACATTGTGAAAGAGTTCATGTAATCGTAGCAGCAAAACACATTTGTATTGCTAATTGTCGGGAATGTGTTTTCTTTTTGGGAGTGAACCAGCAACCTCTTATTGTTGGTGATAACCATAAACTGCAGGTGAGCTTCTTCATTTACCGTTGCATTTTTAGTGAAGTTGGTACTCTGACCTTCCAGATTGGCTTCTGCATGAAAATGAACCTATAGATTTTGATTCTATGTAATGGCATCATGAAGTGATTCCACTGAAAAATTAAAAAGATTGAATTGTGATGTTCTTTGTGGCTTAATTGGTATAATTTTGCACAATATAGGTTGGTACCTACAGAACATGGTACTCTTCGTTGAGATGTAGTGTTCGACATGTCTCTGACAGTATACAACACATATTTGGCACTCCTCACTAGCTGCCTACTTATTTTCTTTTGAAAATTAGCTCAAATACTTGTTCCGTGCCAACACCTCAATACACTTGGAGTCTAAGTTCAACACTTCAGGGACAGTATGAAAAATGTTCAATATTTTAAACAACTTGACAAGTCAGTTGAAAATATTTAAAATATTAAAAAATAATGCGTCTCATTTTTTTTGGAAGGTCATTATTTGATTGTAATAAAAAGAAACGTAAAACATTGCAAGTTCTTTTGAGATGAGTACACTTGTGTTGAATGATATAATTCTTGTTTAAGATAGAGAAAATGCTTTTTGACTGTGCCTCAATAAATATCTTATATGAAAAAAGAGAATGAAAATGAATATACTAATCTTAATTATTAATTTAAATAATTTGTTTTATACTTTTTCTCCTGATATTTAATTTCATTCGAGTCTTCTCTCTATATACATATACAAACAGAGAGATAGATAGAGAGAAATTGTAACTGAAAGCTCTTTGATTATTTTTGTATCGCTGCTTATGTAGTTTACCTTTACAGGGTTAGTGTCAAGCGGCAATATCTTGGTATTTTTAATCATTGGGGTGTCATCTAGCCTTCTTTGTTACTAATTTTTTTTCCTCAAATGTGCAGAGAAAGGAGTTAATGAAATCACTGCAAAATATTGGGCGGCTATTTATGAAATTACTATCAGCCTAGTACTTTTGAATCGTGACACTGATACATGAGTGGATAGAAAGTTCCTCTAGCTATTAAAGTGTGTGACTGATCCACGAGTGGATAAAATAGTTAGACTGTAAATAGGTTTACTTTGAGCTTGTTTAGGGGTCGTACTTTGTTGCTTTACTGGTATTATTTGCAATTTTTAATTCTAATGTGTTGATTATTAATTTTTAAAACGCAGCACATTCATAGTTATAAAGTCTAGTTGAGAAAGAAACAAAAAAGTTAGCCCAATAGCCATGAGAAAGCTAAGTGATGAAATGGACAAACCCTTAAATTCTAGATCAGTATATTTGGTGGTTGGCAAGAACAAGCCTTTTTAGTTTGTCTTCAAAATCTAATAACAGACTACTCAATTATTCTTTTAGATGACTACAAATATAGTATTTGTTTAATTAGAAAAACAATATGATCTCTAAGTAACATCTTACTGAAGTCGTTTAATTAGAAAAACAATATGGTCTCTAAGTAACATCTTACTGAAGTCGTTTTTCTGACTACATTTATGCTTCTAGTGACACTACAAGCTTTTTTGTTCTTACTATTTATGCATATTTTTCTTTTTAATTCTCACTTTTCTCTGCTGAATTCCTTGTTTGAAATCTTCTTCCTTATAATGTTAACAGGTGGCTCCCTATAATACTTTTTATTCCCAATTGGAGGAGCATATGGACGAAGTTGGAATTGTGCCCACAGTTAACCGATGGGATGAGCCTCTAGCATTGGGCATGGTTGATCCGCATGATTCATTGTCTCATCCAGCTGGTGTCTCTGATGTTCAAGCTGAGTCTGCTATGCGGGTGGACCCAGATCAGTTCACTTATTTTGTGGTATGCGTGTTTCTTTATTACTGACTTGTATGGCAAGTGTAGACTTTTTTGTGTGGGTGATCTTTTAATGGAAATTCATATGTTTGCCATTAGATAATATATCGTCCAGGGTATTAAGTAGTGCGAGGGGCCCCTACCTGCTACAGTGGCTGCTGTAGTGCGGCCAATAGTGTCTTAACAACAGCCATAGCAAGCACTATAGCGAAACTTTGTGTTGATTCCAAAAGAATTCCTCTGATGGAAGACATTGGGTTATTTTGGGATTTTAATATCCAAAATTGAAATATAGAGATGTATTAATAGCGTTAATGATAAAAGACTTGATAATAATTGATAATCTTTAGCTAGGAAACATTTATTTGAATTTGTATGTTTTGTTTAAGAGTTAAGGCACCTGTGGCATTTTATTTTTAATTATGAACCTTATAAATTTTGAGTAATTTTTATCATTAGTAAATTAATTCAAAATAGCGGCTGCTCTTCTATACTCTATCCCGCTTTAATGTTTATGGAAACGGCTGCTATTTGGAAACATTGATATTGTGTGTATGATTTGTAAATTCAGGTATGAGCAGTGTTCAAGGTGCATTTCTTTATCTTTATTTAGTCGTGATTTTATTCTTTCCGCATTGTTGTCATGCAGATTCCCAACTGGTTTGGAGGAGAGTCCACTGGGGCTACAAAAGGCAACCCATTCACGTTACCAGATGCTTATATGGCATCTCAGAATAAAAATGTATGCATGCTGTTAATTGATAAGTATACGAACAATTGGACTTCCAATCAAGTGTTTTCTTTTTACGGATGTGAAATGTGTTTAATTCTGAATGAATTTTATCTTTGCAGCAAAAAAATTTAGAGGAGATAAGGCAGCTCTTACGAGAAGCACCTTTAGAAGAAAGTCGCAAACGAGAATTGTCATCTGCTCTCCATGTCTACTTCAGGGACTGGTTATATGGTAACTATCAGTTTTTTCCTTTTAGGCCCAATGTAAGTGGGCTTTTCCTACATGTACTTGAAGGAGAAAATAAAATGAATGTAGAAAGTAAGGTGAATCAAACCTTTCCCGTGAGTTAAAATCTGCTTTAAGAAAGAATCAAACTTCTGAATAGAGGTTTCAGTCACAAGACAACTGATGAACAATATATTATACAAGAAGTCTGGTACAGAGCTGGTTGTTCTAATTATTTTCTAGAGGAGGCTAAGCGGATCATGGTAATAACTTTTTCTCTTTTGTTGTAGCTTCCGGAAACATTCGTCAGCTTTATTTTCTACAAGGCGATTAATCTTTGTCAGACAATGCAATGGCACAGTTAATGGTACAGGAACGAGGTTTCTGGTTTCCTTTTTGCACTTCCTCTTCTATTCCCCTTGCCAATTCTATTGGCGGCATAGGTAGCTGAGTTCAGACGAGGTGAATTAGAGTGACGCCTATTTATGCCGTGGCATCAGCGGTGCGTAGAATCGATGAAAAATACAGTTGCTAATCTCATTGTAATATTTTTTTGGTTGTGAAAATAATTTACTGTAATATTTTGTTAGCCTAAATTAATGGCGCGTTTCCGAAAATTCCAGCGGCGAACATCTAGTGTACTATCAATCTCCCAACTTCGATTTTGGTTTACTTGGGAATACTGTTGGGTTCCATCGCTTTACGAATTCACTTCGTATATTAACGTGGCTTGTTTACAAGTCATTGGGTGTAGCTTCTATTTAAAAGAAAAAATGAGTCGAAGTACTTGAGTCGTTTTCTTACAGTGGATACTGCTATGAAAGATGTAAATGGTCGGTAGGATTAGGTGATATTGTCTGGCAGCTTTGCTGACGTTGGTTGTTGTAGTTGAGTGGTTTCTCGCAATTATGTTGTCATACTTGATATCCTAATAACGGCTAGCTTGATCGAGAAATGTTCCTTAACCGTGCAACTATGTCCAATTTGGTTTTCTTAAAAAAAGGGCGTGTACGTCAAAAGAGCTTTCGTTATTGAGAAACATATATTTAAAAATGTAATGAATATAATATAATTCATTAGCTGTTTACTTGTTCAATTACCCTTATATTAAAAAATTGGATAATGATACTTTGACAACATTTTAACATCATTTATGTGTTATTCTGTGATTAATCCATGTTGGTATTTATGATTATAATTATTGATTGTGGAGTAATTTTGGATCAATCACAGAATGTGTAGATGATATTAAAATGTTGTTAAAAAAATATTGTCAAAGTATCATTATCCAAAAAAATTATTTGTTTTAAACTTTGAGTAACTAAAATAATTTGATGAATATGTTTCTAACAACCTAATATCAAAGTGTGCTAAATGTTTATCGTTGAATGAATATCTTTATTCATAAATTAACCATATTAAGGTAGTGTAATTTATGTTTAATTCAATTTCATTAAATTCGTGCATAAAAATTGAGAAAGATCTAATAACATGTAACACGAAATCTAAATTTAAATCTTGACGAGAATAAACTATAATTTTTGACGAGTGTAAACTTTTATAATTTTAATATCGTATTTAGGAAGTAGTACTTACGTCTAATTCAATTTTGTTGAAATTTCTCCCATTTATACAATATAAGTTGGCTTTATGACGTGGATTCTCAAGATAAGAAGTTGAAGATCTCTGAGAGAAGCAAAACTAGATTTGATATTTGCATAACCAAAGATCCTCTCCAAGCTAGATTTAATTCTGCTTTGTAGTTCATAACTATTTAACGAAGCAGGAAAAGTAGAAGAGGAAAAAAAAGCATTTAATAAAACAGGAAAAATGCAAAATGTAGTAGTAGCAGCAATCACGGAGGTTCTCCTTACAGTCCTCGCTCTCAGTGTTTGTACCTCAATGAAAAATTCCGTGCCAGAACAGATATTACAAGAGAGATAGGAGTGAGTAAGTAAGCTCCCAGTACAAATGCCTTTAAATGTGATCTTAAAATTTTACCAATTGCCACTGTTCAGAGGAGGCCAATCATACTACGCCACGTATGATCTTAAAATCATACTCCATGAGGTAAACCCCACCAGAACGCTCCCGCATCTCTCTTCTCCCTCTACTTGTGCCCGAATCAAAGATCTGCAACTCTTTCTCTCTCTCACTGTCTCGTTTTCCCATGTTTTTTCTCTCTGACTTGCCATGACGGAACCAACGGAGCCATCCACCTCATCTTCATTGGCGAGGGACCCAAGCACTGTGATTCATCCAAGGCGCGAGCCCTTCGAGCACGGTCTCTTGCCAATCCCACGACTCATCTTCTCCGACCCCTCGCAAACCCTAATTCCGTTGAAGCAAAAGCTTCTACAGTTATCCTCCAACCACCGAGTCGACTCGGTGGCCATTTCCGACTCACTTCAGATCTCCATTGAGCACGCCAGGCTCGTCCTCGACACCCTCGCCTCGATTCTGCACTCCGACTCCGAACCTCTCACCGCCGCGAAGTTCGGAGAAATCGATTCAGTCGGCGTCGACGTGCATGATCTGGTATTGTTTCTCTACATTCAATCCTACAAGAGACTCCTCCCGCGGACGCACAAAGACTCCGCCGCCATCGCCGATGTCTGGCCTTCTACTTCCGCCTTTGATGGCTATTTGTCCGCTCTCTCGCCGCTTCAGGTGAATCGTCGTTTCAAATTTCTGTGGCGTAATTTGACATAATTTGATNTTAGAAAAACAATATGGTCTCTAAGTAACATCTTACTGAAGTCGTTTTTCTGACTACATTTATGCTTCTAGTGACACTACAAGCTTTTTTGTTCTTACTATTTATGCATATTTTTCTTTTTAATTCTCACTTTTCTCTGCTGAATTCCTTGTTTGAAATCTTCTTCCTTATAATGTTAACAGGTGGCTCCCTATAATACTTTTTATTCCCAATTGGAGGAGCATATGGACGAAGTTGGAATTGTGCCCACAGTTAACCGATGGGATGAGCCTCTAGCATTGGGCATGGTTGATCCGCATGATTCATTGTCTCATCCAGCTGGTGTCTCTGATGTTCAAGCTGAGTCTGCTATGCGGGTGGACCCAGATCAGTTCACTTATTTTGTGGTATGCGTGTTTCTTTATTACTGACTTGTATGGCAAGTGTAGACTTTTTTGTGTGGGTGATCTTTTAATGGAAATTCATATGTTTGCCATTAGATAATATATCGTCCAGGGTATTAAGTAGTGCGAGGGGCCCCTACCTGCTACAGTGGCTGCTGTAGTGCGGCCAATAGTGTCTTAACAACAGCCATAGCAAGCACTATAGCGAAACTTTGTGTTGATTCCAAAAGAATTCCTCTGATGGAAGACATTGGGTTATTTTGGGATTTTAATATCCAAAATTGAAATATAGAGATGTATTAATAGCGTTAATGATAAAAGACTTGATAATAATTGATAATCTTTAGCTAGGAAACATTTATTTGAATTTGTATGTTTTGTTTAAGAGTTAAGGCACCTGTGGCATTTTATTTTTAATTATGAACCTTATAAATTTTGAGTAATTTTTATCATTAGTAAATTAATTCAAAATAGCGGCTGCTCTTCTATACTCTATCCCGCTTTAATGTTTATGGAAACGGCTGCTATTTGGAAACATTGATATTGTGTGTATGATTTGTAAATTCAGGTATGAGCAGTGTTCAAGGTGCATTTCTTTATCTTTATTTAGTCGTGATTTTATTCTTTCCGCATTGTTGTCATGCAGATTCCCAACTGGTTTGGAGGAGAGTCCACTGGGGCTACAAAAGGCAACCCATTCACGTTACCAGATGCTTATATGGCATCTCAGAATAAAAATGTATGCATGCTGTTAATTGATAAGTATACGAACAATTGGACTTCCAATCAAGTGTTTTCTTTTTACGGATGTGAAATGTGTTTAATTCTGAATGAATTTTATCTTTGCAGCAAAAAAATTTAGAGGAGATAAGGCAGCTCTTACGAGAAGCACCTTTAGAAGAAAGTCGCAAACGAGAATTGTCATCTGCTCTCCATGTCTACTTCAGGGACTGGTTATATGGTAACTATCAGTTTTTTCCTTTTAGGCCCAATGTAAGTGGGCTTTTCCTACATGTACTTGAAGGAGAAAATAAAATGAATGTAGAAAGTAAGGTGAATCAAACCTTTCCCGTGAGTTAAAATCTGCTTTAAGAAAGAATCAAACTTCTGAATAGAGGTTTCAGTCACAAGACAACTGATGAACAATATATTATACAAGAAGTCTGGTACAGAGCTGGTTGTTCTAATTATTTTCTAGAGGAGGCTAAGCGGATCATGGTAATAACTTTTTCTCTTTTGTTGTAGCTTCCGGAAACATTCGTCAGCTTTATTTTCTACAAGGCGATTAATCTTTGTCAGACAATGCAATGGCACAGTTAATGGTACAGGAACGAGGTTTCTGGTTTCCTTTTTGCACTTCCTCTTCTATTCCCCTTGCCAATTCTATTGGCGGCATAGGTAGCTGAGTTCAGACGAGGTGAATTAGAGTGACGCCTATTTATGCCGTGGCATCAGCGGTGCGTAGAATCGATGAAAAATACAGTTGCTAATCTCATTGTAATATTTTTTTGGTTGTGAAAATAATTTACTGTAATATTTTGTTAGCCTAAATTAATGGCGCGTTTCCGAAAATTCCAGCGGCGAACATCTAGTGTACTATCAATCTCCCAACTTCGATTTTGGTTTACTTGGGAATACTGTTGGGTTCCATCGCTTTACGAATTCACTTCGTATATTAACGTGGCTTGTTTACAAGTCATTGGGTGTAGCTTCTATTTAAAAGAAAAAATGAGTCGAAGTACTTGAGTCGTTTTCTTACAGTGGATACTGCTATGAAAGATGTAAATGGTCGGTAGGATTAGGTGATATTGTCTGGCAGCTTTGCTGACGTTGGTTGTTGTAGTTGAGTGGTTTCTCGCAATTATGTTGTCATACTTGATATCCTAATAACGGCTAGCTTGATCGAGAAATGTTCCTTAACCGTGCAACTATGTCCAATTTGGTTTTCTTAAAAAAAGGGCGTGTACGTCAAAAGAGCTTTCGTTATTGAGAAACATATATTTAAAAATGTAATGAATATAATATAATTCATTAGCTGTTTACTTGTTCAATTACCCTTATATTAAAAAATTGGATAATGATACTTTGACAACATTTTAACATCATTTATGTGTTATTCTGTGATTAATCCATGTTGGTATTTATGATTATAATTATTGATTGTGGAGTAATTTTGGATCAATCACAGAATGTGTAGATGATATTAAAATGTTGTTAAAAAAATATTGTCAAAGTATCATTATCCAAAAAAATTATTTGTTTTAAACTTTGAGTAACTAAAATAATTTGATGAATATGTTTCTAACAACCTAATATCAAAGTGTGCTAAATGTTTATCGTTGAATGAATATCTTTATTCATAAATTAACCATATTAAGGTAGTGTAATTTATGTTTAATTCAATTTCATTAAATTCGTGCATAAAAATTGAGAAAGATCTAATAACATGTAACACGAAATCTAAATTTAAATCTTGACGAGAATAAACTATAATTTTTGACGAGTGTAAACTTTTATAATTTTAATATCGTATTTAGGAAGTAGTACTTACGTCTAATTCAATTTTGTTGAAATTTCTCCCATTTATACAATATAAGTTGGCTTTATGACGTGGATTCTCAAGATAAGAAGTTGAAGATCTCTGAGAGAAGCAAAACTAGATTTGATATTTGCATAACCAAAGATCCTCTCCAAGCTAGATTTAATTCTGCTTTGTAGTTCATAACTATTTAACGAAGCAGGAAAAGTAGAAGAGGAAAAAAAAGCATTTAATAAAACAGGAAAAATGCAAAATGTAGTAGTAGCAGCAATCACGGAGGTTCTCCTTACAGTCCTCGCTCTCAGTGTTTGTACCTCAATGAAAAATTCCGTGCCAGAACAGATATTACAAGAGAGATAGGAGTGAGTAAGTAAGCTCCCAGTACAAATGCCTTTAAATGTGATCTTAAAATTTTACCAATTGCCACTGTTCAGAGGAGGCCAATCATACTACGCCACGTATGATCTTAAAATCATACTCCATGAGGTAAACCCCACCAGAACGCTCCCGCATCTCTCTTCTCCCTCTACTTGTGCCCGAATCAAAGATCTGCAACTCTTTCTCTCTCTCACTGTCTCGTTTTCCCATGTTTTTTCTCTCTGACTTGCCATGACGGAACCAACGGAGCCATCCACCTCATCTTCATTGGCGAGGGACCCAAGCACTGTGATTCATCCAAGGCGCGAGCCCTTCGAGCACGGTCTCTTGCCAATCCCACGACTCATCTTCTCCGACCCCTCGCAAACCCTAATTCCGTTGAAGCAAAAGCTTCTACAGTTATCCTCCAACCACCGAGTCGACTCGGTGGCCATTTCCGACTCACTTCAGATCTCCATTGAGCACGCCAGGCTCGTCCTCGACACCCTCGCCTCGATTCTGCACTCCGACTCCGAACCTCTCACCGCCGCGAAGTTCGGAGAAATCGATTCAGTCGGCGTCGACGTGCATGATCTGGTATTGTTTCTCTACATTCAATCCTACAAGAGACTCCTCCCGCGGACGCACAAAGACTCCGCCGCCATCGCCGATGTCTGGCCTTCTACTTCCGCCTTTGATGGCTATTTGTCCGCTCTCTCGCCGCTTCAGGTGAATCGTCGTTTCAAATTTCTGTGGCGTAATTTGACATAATTTGATGTTATTTAGCGTTATCAGGCATGGAGGTGCTGTTCTGGACCAATGCATTGCATAATTCCTATAATATTTTATTGATTTCTCTTGGCTACTTTCATATTTTAAACTTTGGATTTATGGCTGTTATCTGGTACTTTTTTGTTCATTATGATTCCATTTTTATTTGACTTCGTCATTAAGCTGTGTCTATTTCGTTTGGAGTGATTCTTTTGTTGATTCGGTGAATCTTTTGCAGCTTGTACGCAGCAACAGTCGGCGGTTTATGCCTTCTCAGGCCGATGAAGAGGCACATCAGTTGTCGTATCTGCAAAAACACTTGGCTAACATAATGTCTCTTTTAGCAGAGCCAGTAGAGGGAGAAGGCGAAGAGTCTCTGGTTTGTTAATTTACTGTATGCTACCTTTGTTGCTGATTTTAGCCGCAGTTCATTATTTCTTACATTCCCAATACCAGACTTAGCATATGGGATCCATTCCTGTTGAGGTTGCGTACTAACCTGAAAGTGACCAAGTCCGGTGTCATGGAAGTTATTTTGCATCGTTGGTTGTATGTTTTTTTCGAATACAGCTGTCGCTCCCAAATCTTTAGCTCCAGTTAAATGATGTTATTTGTTTTTCGCTTAGTCTTAGTGGTCTATTCTTTACCCATTTTACATGCATTTCATCCAAATTCTATGTGCTTACAGTTAGACATTAGCTGTTAAGTTGTGCAGATAGATACCTTTTTGCATCCCATTACAGTACGGCCACAAGTTTATACTCTGATTTTATGACTTTTCACTAGCTTTGCATTACGGAGAGCAAAAACATGATTCTATTGTATGTCCCATTCGGATTCTAATTTGATTTAATTGGGGTCAATGTGGTTTACATGGAAGAGTAAGAACATCATGCAATTGCTACTACATTTGGTCAAAATTCTCGTGTATAATTCATGTTTTATTTGTGGGTCACAAACAATTTATCAGTGATGTATTTGTTGGTGAGAATGAGACTGGGGTTGTGATCTGCTGTGAGAGCTTCGGTTTTATGAGTTATCGATGTGTCAGCTGACATATTAGTGAAATCCACCTGTTAATTTATGCATGCCTAGAGAGAGTAACGTAACAAGAAATTTTATTTTTTACGGACAATCAGCCTTTTCTTTTGACATGGGGGATAAAAAAAGGCAAGTGGCTTGTTTGCCATGTCTTCATCCTTATGTGGTATTAATTTGAGAATATATTCTTTCTTCTACTTAGGTTCCACATACTAGTATATCACATAGTTAATCATACAATGACCTTTTCATTTGGGGAATAGTATATTGAGTCAGCTTTGAACTTCTTTTTTTTAAATCTACTGAATTCAACTGTAACACAGGCTTAGTACAGTAGTAAAGGTTACTGCCCCAAGTCCTGGAAATAGTTTCTCTGCATTCTGAAATAATGTTGCCTATACCTTCCAGATCCCACTAGTTTGGAGCCTCATAGACTGTCACCCCTTTGTTAGTGAGCTAGAATTTTAGGCTAATAGCATTTATTTGCTATTATAGTATGAGGAGTTTTGTGAATGATTTATGTTTTCATTGATTAAAATTTACATATGTTTTTCTTGTAGTTCTTACTTCTATTATTGTATTGCTTATGTGGTAGGTTTTAACAATGGATAGATTCGAGCATCTTGGGTTTCTATTTCAGTTTGGTGATAAGGGATTGGAAGGAAATTCTTTTAGTCAATGTTCTCCTTTTTTTGCAAACTCAGACCCTGATATGCCTGCTGTTCCTGTTCCTGCTGCACAAGTTCATGATTGGCTTCTGCAGAACATAGTGGCTACTTTGGAATATATTTCTGAACGAACTTCTTCTAAGGAAAATGGCCCATCTAGTGCCTCTGATCAGGATGTTGCCATGACTGATGCAAGTACTGTGTCAATTAAGGTTTCAACAAGTAATAGAGGTGCTAGTTTCATTGAAGGGATATCTAAATCATCATATACAAAGAATGCATCTGACATAAAAGGTTCTTCAGTGAAGGTTTGTCTTAAACTTCTTTTCACATATTTTTTTTAAGTGTCAATTTGCTTGTAATTTGATTTTAATTTTTGATATATCATTGAAGCTATTGATCCTATGTAAGATTTCAACCCTTTATTTTAGTTGTTTCATATATAACTACTTATAAGTACAATTGCATAACATTTCCAAATAAACATATTATTCTGAATGAATAGCTATTTTGCTCTAACTTAATGTAATAAAATGACTAGTGCTTGATTTTGGGTATGATTAAGAACTTTAGTCTAAGGCAACCAAAGCCTTTAGCTCATTCAATACCAAAGGAGTTGTGTGAAGCTATCCAAAGATAGCTACTTGACTACTTGAGCATATTCGATACCAGACAAGCATTCATTGGCTACCATAACTACTCAGATCATATATTTGCTTCCTAACTCCTTTTAGGATAGGAGTGCGTATGAGAGAATCATGTTCAAGAGAACTATGAAGATGCAACAGGACCTAGTAAGAAAAAGAGCTAGCAGCAGAGATGATCCCTACAATGGCTATTTGAGCACCACTTACTGTTTGGATCCTATGCTATTGATGACCTGCCAAGTTTCTCCTAGGGCAAGAAACCTCTTATCGTCCTCAGTTGAAATTCGTGCACGTAAAAAGTTACAAGATGGTGCATTTTGTAATGGTAGAAAGAGGAAAGGCTAAGTGAAATGGTTAAAAAATTGCTTAATGTGTGGCCACTAGTCATTCGAATTTCTTCTTACCCATGTTACTATTCTCACTGGACATTTTTGACTATATCTTTACTTTCACTTTCGTACTCAACCATCTCTCTCCTTAGTCTGATCTAGCCTATATTGATTAAGAGGGCTGAAGACCCCTTTTATTTTATTAATGCAATTTTAAATTCAACGAAACTTTCTCAATTCCAATGCAACTTCATCCACTAATATAGAAAATTCTCTAGT